TATATATATATATATATATATATATATTTTTTTTTTGAAGCTTTCAATTCAGATTATTTTGTCAATTCATGCTTCTTATCAATATAGCAGCCACAACTACTATATTCTTATCAAACCTTCTGACACATATAGATGGTTAAATCAGACTCAAATTCACATTTTTTCTAATATGATATTAAAGTTTATTTTAACGTTTGTTGTTAAGCTTATTTGACCATTTGCAGTTGTTTGATTTAGGTCCAAACCAAACTCACATTTTCTAATACATATCAACACTATGACAAAAACATGTAAAATTTCCATAGTTATTGCTACCTGCAATGTTCATTATGTTTTCCCATCATGCAGAAAACTTCATGACTGGTTACCGTATAGTCTTTGACCGTGAGAACATGATTCTTGGTTGGAAGGAATCCAATTGTAAGTAAAGTTCAACTCTTCTGCTTCAGAATACTAGATCCTTTCTCTGTTAATTATTGTTAATATTAATTATATTATTCTCAGGTTATGATGATGCACTCTCTACTTTGCCTACTAACCGATTACACTCCCCTGCTATTTCTCCTGCCATAGCTGTGAATCCTGAAGCAACATCAAACCAATCTAATAATCCTTTGCAGTCACCTAATCTCTCATTTAAGATAAAACCAACTTCTGCTTTCATGATGGCCCTTTTTCTTCTTTTAGCCATTTTTTGAGTATATCTTAGGCTATTCAGTGTCATATTATTAATATTAGTATTTTTTTAGCACACACGAGAGAAGCATTATTACTACGCATTTTTGTATTCTTGGTAGCATAATTTGATAATGAGTTTGTAGATAACATAAAAACATGAAATAATAGTTGTGAAAATATATATATATATATTTTTCCATTCTTACATTTTACTTCTTTGGTGATTGTCTGTCTTCATTTTTACTCGGTCAACTCTCAAGACTTTCAATGTGAATCCCGTGGTTAGTTACAAATCCTCATAGTTGTAAATGCAGAACCGTGTTGATTCTTGACTTGGACAAACAAGCACCAAATGTCTCGTGAGATTAGTTGCAAATCCTCATATATATACTACATAGTTTGTATCAATAGTTGAATGCTTCTAAATTTTGTGGATATAAATGGACCACTAGATTAGATAAAGACACTTGAGATAGAGATTTAACCATCTGGTCTCTCTATTTTTCAAATACTGGACCATCCTGATTCCTGACTTTGACCGTTAGATGTCAACACCAGAAGGGCCAACCTTGATTTCTTCGGAAGATCATTTACTACGATAAAGGCATTATTAATTATCATTAACTTTCATTAATTTTCATGAATCTTTTGTTTCTGCTATCAGTTTAAATAGGCTTAGAGTTACATATCCGGAGGAGGCACGTCACTCCAAGACACATAGCAATAGCTTTCATCCTCTACATTCGGAATAGCATAAATTAAGAGCAGCGTATACACAAACCAGAAAGTTAATAAGAATTAATCTTTTAAAATATCGTCATCTATTTTAAAAAAAATTAACCTTTTTTGATAAATATTTTTTCATTAATATGAACTATGAACCAATTACATGTTTAAAGGATAAAGATATTTACCAATCATACTATATATAAGAGATAAATATGGAATATGGAATGTAAGTCAATCAATCGAGATAATTTGCAAGAATGTCACTGTACAAGTTTGGCGTGCTTAAGTCAGGCCAACCAGTTATGAACATATTCATTGAATACAGAAGAGTTATGAACTCTTACCAGCCGCCTTTAGCTTCAAAAGTTGAAAATACTAGTACTAAATTTATTTATTTTTCCAACAATTTATATAAATATCCGATTATTTTTTTTCATAAGTTCAAAAATTGATGCTAGCATCCTTCCCCTTTTTGCCCTTAATCTCTTAAAGTTTTAGTTAATATCCCCACACTAGGATATGTCCACTTGTCATGAGAAAGCCATATAATTCAAACTCATCTTGGTCTGTTCTAAGTACTCCATCCATAATTGGCTCTTATGTTCTTGTGCATTCTTCCTCTTCTTAACAGTATGACTGTTCATACTGTTAAGAAGAGGAAACAAATCCAGGTTCAGTAGGAAACAAATCATGAAAAATATAAAATGCACTTCATCTGTATAATGAAAAGTAATAATTATGACTATTCATATTCTCCATTTCTGATGCATAATAAAATAGACGAATACTATATGCACAGTATTGCAAGTTATTAATGCCGGAAAACATGTTAACATGCATGACATAATTTTGGTTCATGACATGGATATTTAAATAATTTTATCAATAATTGCATCATCCGGGCATAACTAGAAGATAAAGCTATACATTTTTATTTTTTTTTATTTTTGTTCAACCAAAGTATCCCTAGCTTTCAATTAATAACTACTCTGTTGAGTTACTGAAATTTATTTAAAATATTAACTTCTTTTAACAAATATTTTTTTTCATTCTTAAGTCTCAAGTCTTTAACCACATACAACCATGTGATCATGTTGGTTGGTTGGTATGGTTGCATGCTAAAGTCTAACTCTATGCAAGCTCTTTCACATAGAAAGAAGAGGAAAATTATCTATACATTTTTTTTGGAAGTTAAACACATTGACCTTGATATCAAGATTGACACACTAATCCAATCAACCTTTACCGATTACATTTTAGCATATTGATTGAGTTAGGTTATCATGTCGGATTCAATTTATTTTAACTATATCAAATATAATTAAGTTTTTAAGTTAATGTGTTTTCAACTTCATTCAATTTAATTTAAATATAATTTTAATGCTTAAATAATAATTATTTATCACTTTAATTTAACTTCATTCATCGCTGATTTTTTTAACAAGCACTCCTCAATCTTATTAAATTGTGGTTGGTTGAGTTCTATCAAAAAAAGTTATGGCTCTATATGTTGTGTCTCTTGAAGATCGGGAATTTAATTTTGAAGGCAACGACATTTTTGAACATCGTGATTCAATAGCACTCCATTAGCCTCGATGACATTTAATGTTTTAAAAAGTATTATTGCTAAAACCAAATTTTTGGATTCAATTAGATTTTAGATATTCTCATACAATTTTTTTTCTCCTTTTTTCATTAGATTTTGTCATATATTAGATCATACACGACTTAATCCGACTAGTTACATCCCTAAATCTTAAACCTTAAAAAGAAATTAAAAATTAAAAATAAAAAAATCAATCAATAAATCAAGAGAAAAAAATCAAGAAAATAAGAAAAAATGTAAAAAAAATCAAAAAATAAAAAACAAGGTGCACACAGAGTCACAGACTATGTTAAATTACTCATTTCTTTGCAAAAAAATAATAATTAAAAAACATGTCCTAGATGTAATTTTGGTATTATTCTATGGTTACCAAATGAGAACCAAATTTTCCTGTCTTTTAGTTTAAATTTTTAGGTTTAAATATGTTTTTAATTTTTGGTCTTTCTATTTTTTTTTATTCTTCTAAAATTTATAAACATTATTTTTTATCCTTGTAGAATAAATAAATTTTGATTTTAATTCCTGTAAAATATTTTCTTTGATTTTCATCTCTCTAAAAGTTAAACTATTTTAGTAATGATTATTTTAAGGTGGATAAATAATATTTATTTTAAAGATCTATAACTTTTTTAGAAGTGTAAAATATCGATATGATATCAATAATGATTGTAAGTAACACTTAAGATGGTTACTTACCTTTTTAATAAATAAAAAATAGTTAAAATGATTACATAAAAATAGAGACTAAAATAATATTTTTAATTTTATAGGAATGAAAAATAAAGAAAAAATTTTACCGGTGCTAAAATCAAAACTTGCTAATTTTATAGGGATTAAAAACATATTTAAACAAAAATTTTATTAGTCACCAAATTCAAACTCTCATTTTGATTAAAAAAAATAACATTAAAATTACTTAAGCATCGGTATGAATTTTTGTCTAAAATGAAGAGGGCACCCCACAAGGGGTGTTCAAAAAAATCCAAATTGATCTGAATCAATCCATAATCAATTTGATCTGCATTGAAAGGTTGATTCACTTTAAAAAGTTGTTCAATTATCAAACCTATTTTTACAAAGTGAGTTGATCCGATTTTGTAAAAAAACTGATATATATATATATATATATATATATATGTATTGAGAAAACAATTTAAATTTTCAAATTCAAATCTCTGAGATATTATTTATATTTTAAAAGATATCGATTCTTTTAGGATATTGTTTAGAATTGAAATTATTGTATTTATTTTAGAGATTTGTTTTCTCTTTTAAGATTGTAAGGTAAGATCAATAAATAGAGACTCTTGAGATGAGAAGAATCACCTGACCTATAGAGAGGGTCACCGCCTTAAATGAAAGAGGAGGTCATATGAAGGAGGATTTCCAAGTTTTGTCAGCAAACTTGTGAATAATGATTTTCAAGTTTCGCCAAAAAACTTGTGAGATGTGGGTTTCCAAGTTTCACCCATAAAACTTGTGAGAAAGGGGTTTCCAAGTTTTATCCATAAAACTTGAAGGGAAGATTTTCAAGATATATGTAACACATTTTGAAATAAATAATGAACATTCTTGTGGACGTAGGCATGAGGAGTTGAACCACGTTAAATAAATTTGTATAATTTTTTCCTATTTCTTTTATGGTGTTATTTTAGTATATTTCTCAACATTATTATTGTGCGTAAAAAAGAAGAAGATTTTTTTGTTCCCAACAATATATATATATATATGAGTAAAAAATGAATAATTTCACTAGATCAAATCGATTCAATTTTAAAAAAAGTTGATCCATAATTTTTTTTAAAATAAAATAAATCAATCTACTTTATAAAAAAATAAAAAATAATCAATTAACTGATCATTTTTATAAAACGTTCGATTCCATTCAATTTAAAATTTTAAAAAACCTGACCCATATACACCCGATGTGAGGGAAACAAAAACATACGGAAGAATGGTCTTGTTAAATTTAGCTTAAAACATAACTCTTCAGTCTAACAAAATCAATGTAACCTTCTTGGAATATATAAACAAAGAGTTTTGAAGTATTGACACTAAAGATGAAATAAATTTTTATTCTAACATTAAATGATTATTGGTCCAAAGAACAAATATCCGAGTTGGCAGCTTCATCCTGATTTTCTCAGCCACAATTTTTCATTCTCATTGCCAAATTCAATATCATTATCGCTGCTGTCTCCACTGGTTATTGCATTTTCGACAGAGCCACTCAGTAATTGTATTTTACTTGACTTGGGATTGAAGAACTTGCGTTTCAGCAACTTGCTCTATGTATTTTACATTTTTTGGTTCCAATTTTGTGACGCATTCTTTACCCACATCAAATTGGAAGTAGCTACAAACTTAGGCACATCTTATATGTGTCATCCCAAACACGCTGGGACTCACGTATTTTATTTGTTTCTTTGACAATTTCTCATAGTACTAATTAACCATTAAAAAATACTAATTCTTTGGTTATTTCTCACTGACATTGTGTTTGGATAAAGAGAGGAAAAAAAATATATAAAATGTTATTTGTAGGCTTAAGTGCATTTTTAATCTTTTAGTATTATAATTATGCAATTTTAGCTGCTAAGGTTCTAATTGAATAATTTTAATCCATTAAGTATTGTAATAATTGTGAAATTTTGGTTTTTCAAATTTTAATTAAATAATTTTAATCTTTCAAGTATTATAATTGTACGATTTTAGACTCTTAAGTATACAATCATATAATTTTTAAATTATTTAAGTTACATATATTCTAATTTCCTTCTTATAAAATGCTATATTTTATTATTATTAAAATTATTAATATATATATATAGCTTAAATATGTAAAAATTTGTATAATTTTGATATTTTAAGAACTAAAATTATACTGTTAAAGTATTTTAAGGACTGAAATTAATTAATTAAAAATTGATGAACCAAAATTATATAAATATGAAACTTAAAATATTAAAATTGTTCGTTTAAAATTTGAAGAATTAAAATCACATGTTTGTCATATTTGAGAAAAAAGAACGCATTTAAGCTTCATTTATACGAACATAAATAACTTAGAATTGGAAGAAAAAAAATCCTTAATTTATTTGGATCGGTTAAAGTGTCTAATGCACAATCTAAAGATGGTCCCCGTTATGGTCATCTCCATTCATAATCTAAACATAGATCATAGTCCAATGTCATCTTCAAATCAACCCATAACGCTCTCACACTCACAATAGCATCATTTGTTTTGTTATTATATTGTTTTGGACCAAAATCCCATCATACCATATGATACATGCAAAGATCACAACATAATCATCTTACTTTATTATCATGAGTCGAGATTTATTTATATAAAAGCCCTCTTAATCATGTTTGGAGATGCTTTCGAAAGATGTAAACATACGTACATTACTTTAATACGAAAGCTACGATGCCTAGTGTCAATGAGATGGGCGTAATAGCAATATTGCAATAATTACTAACATTGGAAGTTTTCGTTTAATCATCATTCTTGGTCTAGAATTGCACAAGCAATTGCTAATATAATTTTTGAAAATTATAAAATAAAAAACAATATTTTATCAAGGATTATATTTAGTGTTTAATTGTACTTTGAGCATAATTGCTTCTTGTAAAAATTACTTATCTAAAATGTGAGAAGAATTTTGTAGATATATAGAATCAAACATTCACAGTTTCAGACTTTCACTAGACATAGGAACTGCACAAACATAGCAGTACCAAACCAACAACACCATAACTGCTTCACCCCAAAAAAAAAAAAAAATGGTGTGCTTCATCATCATGTGTTGATTATATTCACTAACAATCAGCTAATTTGATTACATTTTCAACCCAAAAGTGCAGTTCAGGCTCATTATTACATAAATTACACAGATTTGATAAGCTACTTTTCATCTTAAAACATTAATAAATAGACACATTATACTATTTGATTTTTACAAATGCACCAGACTGTCCGGACAAAATTCAGTATCTTTAATAATTAGGTTCCTTTGAACTATAATCATTCAGTAGGGAAGCTCCTACAACAATAATTATAGTTTTGATAAGACCTGGCTACCATCATAACTAAGACTTTTTTTTTCGGAGGGAATAATATCACAATTAAAGAGTAAAGACTTGAAATGCAAGCTTTGGCACCTAAAAAACAAAATTACGATAGCTCAACCTTAACCACCACATACATTCCTATAACTGAGGCGCAGTTTCCTTTGCTAGTGAAAACCACGACCACGAGTATATCTACGGCTTGATTTGGTTAGTGGTGATCAGATTTGAGGGACCCCATTTAAAATATGTCGAACAAAATTTTAAGAAAGTAAACAACTTAATTTAAAGAAAAAAAGTTAAAACCAGAAAATATATATAATTTGAGTACCTTTTTCACCAATTAAGAATAATAGTTTAAAAAACCATAAATGCTTTTGACAAAATAATTATGCAAACATAGCATTAAAATAAAATATGATATGGACAGGTGGCCTCAATTTCCGCCGAAATCCTAAACCGGAATGTCACAATTATGTGATCACAGAAAAAATGCTCGTAGTAAAATCAAACATTTCAGTTGAGTTCTGACATTAGGTCAATAGGGGAAGACCATGGATAATGTCAAAATTGATGAACCATAATGATGCATCCTGGGGGATGACATTGTAATCTTAACTAATGAAGAGTGAAGGCCATGAAACTGTAGCTTAAGACTGGATTTAGCTAGAATGTATATTTACACTATTCTGATTGAGAGTAACATATTAATAAAAATAAAAAAAGAATAATAGTTAAACCTTCATTTAGTCCACGGAGCAAAAAGTGGATTGTCTTTTTGTAATGAGAATGCTTCAACATTACTACTTCATTGACAATACTGCTTAACGAATTGATTTCTAGAGCCACATTATCTCATTTAATAATTAATCACTTTTATCTCTATAAAAGCCCATTTTCCACACCTTTGATGTCCACAGCAACAAGCTAAAAGTCATCTAAGTACTCAAATTGACATGGCTGCAATAGTTGCATTCTTGAATTTGATCATCATGTTTTCAGTAGTCTCTACAGGCAATTCACTGAGCTTAAACTACTACGAAAAAACATGCCCTGGTTTGGAGTACATTGTTGCCAAGGCAGTGAAGGATGCCACTGCCAAGGACAAAACTGTTCCAGCAGCACTTCTGCGAATGCACTTCCATGATTGTTTCATTCGGGTAAAAGCTATTTTTACACCCCCTCCGTTCCCCTTCACTGTTTCTGCTTCATTTGATGCATCATTTAATCAAATCATATTGTTTTCTTTTTTCCTATACACTTGAAGGGGTGTGATGCCTCTGTGCTGCTAAATTCAAAAGGAAACAACAAAGCAGAAAAGGACGGGCCACCAAATGTTTCTTTGCATGCATTTTATGTCATTGATGCAGCAAAGAAAGCAGCAGAAGCCTCATGCCCTGGTGTAGTCTCTTGTGCTGATATCCTTGCTCTAGCAGCAAGGGACGCAGTTTTTCTGGTAAGAAAACTACTTAAGTACTGAATTTCTCATCATTCAGATCCTAGATAATTATTAATTTGTTATGCCTTTGAGAATTGACAAATGCAGCTAAGGTAACACGTATTTGCAAGTTTTTTTACTAATGGTATAAGAATATTCTACAGTCCGGAGGGCCTACGTGGGATGTTCCTACAGGAAGAAAGGATGGTAGAACATCTAAGGCAAGTGAAACCATACAATTACCTGCGCCAACCTTCAACTTATCACAACTGCGACAGAGCTTCTCTCAAAGAGGACTGTCAGGGGAAGATCTGGTAGCTCTGTCAGGTAAGTTATTCCTAAAGTCAAATCATTTTTCATTCCAATTTATATTGGAATAGAGTTTAGAGTAAAATGTCTTTTGACCTATTTGTAGGGGGGCACACTTTGGGTTTCTCTCACTGCTCATCTTTCCGGAACAGACTCCACAACTTCGATGCTACACATGATGTTGACCCTATATTAAATCCGGCATTTGCAGCAAAACTGAAATCAATTTGTCCAGTAAAAAATCAGGCAAAAAATGCTGGCACCACCATGGACCCTTCATCAACAAGTTTCGATAATACATATTTCAAGTTGATCCTCCAACAGAAAGGCCTGTTTTCTTCTGATCAAGCTTTGCTTGATAACCCAGACACCAAGAATCTGGTTACAAAGTTTGCCAGCTCACAAAAGGCTTTTTTTGAGGCTTTTGCAAAGTCCATGATCAAAATGGGTAGCATCAATGGTGGGCAGGAGGTTAGAAAGAACTGCTGGGTGATCAATTAAAAAGTCTTAATTCAAGTTAAATTGATGTTCTAAACAAATTAGAAGTATGAAATTGGTGGATCAAATTTCCAAGATGGAAAGAATATTACGTGTTTTTCCTCTATGAGAGGAACATGTATATTTATCTCAAGTTAATAAAATCTCAAGAATGTCTTGGGAAATTAATTTTGAACTTAGTTATAAAATATATCATTTTGGTAGTCTTTGGTAATGACTAATGAGTCGGGAAAGGTCCCGTTCAGACACATGCAGTTATCCCTGCTTAATCAAGCCACGAGAGTCATGGTAAAGAAGAGCTCAATCTTGTCAGCAACATGGATAAAAAACCCTAACTTAACAAAGACTACAATTTGGAAATAGAGCATAAGAAACCATATATCTATTGTGATTTTCCCTCCACACCTAATGTAGTTCAGAGAACATTACTAGTGCAGACTGTAATTCTAGACATGGTCTATGTTTGAGCATTCAATTTCCCCACTTTCATCCCAAAACTATTGCTGTTTGCTAAATGTTGCAAAGAATGCAACCATTTTCATTGCAAAAGAAGAATGTCTTGAATTATCGACTCAATAATTGTATGGTTTTCAGCTCTGGCCACTTGACAGCACTGCAAATATTAACATTTAAACATCTTTTATATATGTATAACAAACATAGTGATTCTTAAAAGTAAGCTAAATCAAGCCCAAATGTAACTAAAAAGTTTATTAAAATAAATAACACCAGAGAATTCCTCCACGAGTGTCATCCCAGTCACTCATCCACAAAGATTGATGCTTGATGCCATGCCTCAACATTAAGAAACCACAAAATAAAAAACAAACAGTGTTTTTTCTTCATCTAGTGTATAGCAGAAAAGTATGAAATTCATTGTAGGAGGCATTCTTCTAGCATGATCATATCCTATACAATTGTTTGATCAACTAGATATGAAATGGAATTTTCTAAAAGCAACAATAACATAGATATCAGCAGCCGTATGACAAAAAGAAATGCTAAATTTTGTCATAAAATTTTGAGCTACGTCAAACATTCTCTTCAGAGATAAGAGCTATCTCTGCCAATTGAATGTTACCACTAAGTAGTGATGCTTTGTAGGATGGCAGGAAGGAAAACCCGTCAAGAAGCTTGAGACACTTTAATCCCCATTTTCCCATCAAAAACTCCACAAGGTGATGCCCACTGCAACAAACTAGATAACTAAATTAAAAAATATGGAAATAAATATCAGATGCAGGTTGTAGAGCTAGGATGAAATTTCCTCATAAGTCATGAGCATCATATAGAATGAAAAGTACCTTCGATTATGGTATGAAGTTATAAAGATTGACCCAGGAGAATTTCGGAGCAGGAAT